AATGCCTTTGGCAACAATTGATCTACTCTTGTCGTATATAAAAAACTGTTATCTCATTTAAGTTTTCCTACTTAGAATAATGATATTTAGGTTCCTTTTTTGACGTTCAGTCCAATTCCAATAAATGAAACTAAACAGTGTTTGTATCAAACTAAGATAGATAACAAAAAGTATTCTAAAATCTTATTTCACAACTTAAATGTTTTTTAGATAATGGAGTTTATCGATTTCAATCGACAGATATTTTATTTCTTAAAACTTTGGTTAGATTCCTACTATATATATATGACCTGACATTAAATTTCACTCTAGTTCTTTATTGCTCATTGGTATAAGTCAATAACTTTGTACAGGTCGGCAATTATGAAATAAAGACCTCGTAAACATGACATCTGTATGCTATTGCACTAAAATTAAATGGTTTCTAGGTCAATCATGTTCGTAATTTACTGTAGTGTGCACTGATAGGTCAAGTCCACAAGACTTGTCCGCAGCCTTTGGACTATTTTGTCAATCCATTCCTATTGAGTTAGTCACACGTATTTCGACCTTGTGCATTATTCGCTCTTAACCTTGGTTGTTTTTATTTGAGTGTGTGTGCATTGGTTACTTCTCTTATCACCTGTCTGGCTTATTTTTGTCTGACTATGAGCAGTAGTTAGCTATGCCTTATTGAGTGTGCCCAATCGTTTTCTCCACTTCTCTTTGCTTTCACGATACGTACTACAAATAAATGTTTGTTGACGAAGTGTTATTTATTAAGATTCATTCAGCATCTGATTGTAATTAAAATAGTAAAATGAAAAATTAACAAACTGTTTTTGTATAGTTTGATTAGATATTTCACGTTTCTCGACGTAATGTGTTCCTTGGCCTTCCTCTTTTCCTTTGACCTTGAGGGTTCCATGTGAGGGCTTGTCCTGTGACGCAGTTAGGTGCTTTTCGCAGTGTATGTCCTATCCACTCCCATCGCTTCTTCTTGATTTCCTCCTCCACTGGAATCTGGTTTGTTCTCTCCCACATTAAGTTGTTGCTGATGGTGTCTGGCCAACGAATCCGAAGTATTTTGCGTAGACAACTGTTAATAAACACTTGTATCTTCTGGATGATGGCTTTGGTACTTCTCCTAGATTCCACTCCATACAGTAGAACTGTCTTTACATTTGTATTGAAAATCGTGATTTTGGTGTTGATTGAAAGTTGTTTGGAATTTCAAGATCTGTTAAGGAGAGAAAGATATTTTGACCTTGAGTTTGCATATGACATTGTCTTACTGTGTGGTAATACTCAAATCGTACAATCTCTACTTGATCAGATGTAAGTCAATATGCATATGTATGACAACCGTTTCACATCTTCTAGATGCAACGTACTGTTACAAGACTGGCAGGATACTGAAGCTGCACTCACTATTGTTAGTAACATAGATACAAGTAGTTGAAAAGTTTGTGTATCTGGGTAGCAGTGTAAGTGCTGGTGGTGGCGTGAGTAATGAAATTAATTCACATATAGTGAAGGCTGGAATGACTGAAGCTAGTTTGGGCTATCTTTCGAGCCTTCATGATGTTTTGTCTGTAAAAGGTAAGATCTACGACGCGTCAACGAGGGGAGTTCTGCTCTAGGCTAATGAGCATTCTCAGTTACTCCGTATATCTGATCATTTTCTCTCAAGGTTTGCTAACATTCACTTAAAACGCTATCTTAATAATGCGACATTTATTCGAGCACAGTGAAGATAATGCATGTTGTGTCGTTATCTTCAAACACGTATACCTGTGGCGTCGACTTGTACTGCAGCGAATTCTAAATCATGCAATATTTTCCGACTCTGTGGTTGGTTGAAAAAAGTGGTGGACCGGTTAGTAGTGTATGACAAGATCCCATGTTATGAAAGGACGCTGAAAATAACTGACACCTGTTGATCCTTCATAACTCTCTGGCTTGAGACTTTATCAAGCATGACTCAAAATACAAGCAAGTGATTGTCCTGCTATAACTTACTTTTACTTTTTTCATATTATTTACTTAAACTTCTTGGACAGAGAAAAATCCTTAATGGTTGTGTTTCTCTTAGCCAAACTTTTTTCACTGTCATACACTAATTTGTATTTATTTTTGCTTCTTTTTTCTTATGATACCCACCTTCCATTCTCTATCGCTTCACAATTTCATCTCTGTTGTATGAAGCATATTAATTTTTTTGTGTGCCCCATAGTAATGATGTTTATGTGTTTAAATAAGAATAGTATTAATGCAGCTTCACACCATTTTAGTTGATGAACACTCACCATCTTATCGATCTATGTATCACTCTTTACTTTAAACCTTACGTCTAACCTCATAATTGTTTACTAAGCCGTTCCAGCAGACACGAGCAAAGCTTCAGGGCTATCTTTGATCAGTTTTCTAATAACCTAGGCATATCTTCTATTTCTTTGAGCCATTCAATCAAGTGACGTAGTCAAATGAAACTATGGTTGTCTGTCTTATTGGTAAGAAATATTTTTCAGTGTTCACTCAGAATTCTAAAGTGTTCTATCCAGAGGAGTTTAAAATCATTGATTTTTCCCATAAAATTGGTTTTTGTAGAAAAAATCCACAGTTGCATTCTTAATTAGGTTATTGTGAGTGAAAATGAAACACAACAATTTAGGTCACAATTAGGACAACATAATCATCACAAGCATATTTATTGATCTTATTAAAGCTTATAATTAGGAAAAAAAATTTTAATTTCTAAGGATTTTAATGATCTCACCCTTGCGGGATACATGGAATCAGTAGTTAAGTAGATGATTTGTTTAACATTTGAAACGAACTGTACAAGGGTTTGAGTTCTGGTGTAAACATGAATACTGAGCCGCAGGTTCACCTAACAGACAGGATGAAACGTATCGTTGTAGTTTCCAGCAGTAGCTATAATCCACTTATTGATTTTTAATCTAATTTTTCAATTTTACAGAATATGCTAAATCATCATGCCTGACTAACTCAAACAGTTGAGAGTTTAGTACTAGAAAGATTAAAGCATAGATAAAAATTGTTTTGAGATAACTTTGTTTTACAAAATCATTATTCATCGAATGTGTTTTGTTTTATTTTGAAAAAAAAACAACAATTCGCTTGAAAGAATACTTAAGTTGTGGACAATTAAGCGTCACAAAATGAATAATAGCTAGTAATGGAGCCTATTCAATAGTCGTTAGTTATAAGTACCCATTATCCCAGAGTTGATTTTCACCCTCACGTTGTAACTTGGTTTGGAATTGTTGCATAAACTTTGAGCTACATATCTAAATCTGTTTTTCTAAGCACATGATAACTTATTTCAACATGTCTGAATCAGTTTAGCATGATTTTCTTTTTTTTGACCGTAACAACCGTTTTCGTAAAGATTTACGATGAAGAAATTGCGTAAATCAAATGGATATTTTTAACGGTTGTAGTGTTCTCTCAGTTAGACTGGGTTTGAATTGAAGAACTGTCTTGGTTCTTTGGCAGCACATCATCAATGTTTACTTCAGTTAAAATTTGAATTGGTTTCAAAAACTATAAATCATATCTTACTATAAAATTCAGTACATATTTATCTTGTTCGCGCTCAAGACTTAGATTTAGGAATAAAAATGTCAGTATCTATTAATATTAATAATAACAAAATTTAGAATAATCATAAATATTATCCTATAGGGAATTTAAATCTACCTTTACATGTCCAATAATTAAGTATGAACAAACACTCAACGAATACACATAAAACTAAAATAAAGAGAATATCGCGGTAAGCCACGGTAAACAATAATCAGAAATTTCATCTAGAGAAAATCTTGTCCTATTCGTAGAAAACAAAAGTATTCAAGATGAATGACCAAGGTAATGTATGGAAAACACAATGGCATTTCAAGTGAACAGTACTGAGTTCGAGTCCTGAAGTGAACAGCAAGTCTAGCATGAGCAAACTCTTATTCAGCTCATGCCTGCTTGTGTATATATCTGTCTCCTTGCTTCATTAGGCTTTATCCACTTTCAATTAAAATGAATAATATTTTGAGTAGGCGTGTTTGAATTGCATTTTCAGCTCTTTATCCATCTTTTGAAATCGATGTATGAAACGTTAACATCCGGGAACTCCGTACTTCAACGTTTGTTAACCTTGTTTTTTTAAACGTGTTAAGTAGACAGACCATGAACGAAGTAAATAAGGCCTATATTTCATCGACGTCATTAGTATTTCCCCAACAGATATCCAAAAACACATAAAGACAACAACATTCCATTTTGATCAAATTACCCAACAACTGATCTAATTTAGTTAACTACTCATTTGAACATTTTTTTCAAGTCCACTACCATCAAAGTCAATAATAATCTAATCAAAGTTACTCGACTAATCATCACCTGACTATTTGTTGTCACAAGAGCAATTCAGTAAAATAAGTTTGTTGCCCAATTTAAAATGTTTCAGAAATTATTTTTTTTTTGGATGAAGTCATTTTTCATATGACATCTAAAGTTTCTTTTTTTTCATTAACAACGTAAGCTCTTAAAGATTATAACAGAGATTTAAGCTAGTTACTCAGCTACAACGTAGAACTTCGTATATCTGTACAAGCTAAAATCCCGTATTAGATAGAGGTAGTAGTAGTAGTATTGGCAGTAATTTTGAAGATTAGGGTTCGGAGCTCCGGACAGACTTAAGTTACGACCACAGTTGAGTCCTTATTTCTAATGACACATCATTTACAACATCACACTGTTACATTATTCACCGAAACTCATGATATCCATCTCATGCTCAATTAAAAAGCCGGTCAAATCTCTCTAGAGAAGAATTTCGAACTGCGTAGTTTAAGAGACTGTTACCAGTTTTGTTTTTAAACGATAAATTGGTTAAAATTAATGTTCGCCGTTTAAATTATCACTTCATATTATTGAAATCAATAATTTATTAATTGTCTATTCATTCTTCTTCTTTTGTTGTTGTTGTAACAATAATGAAGCTGATTACAGACAAACAAATTTAATCATTTCACACAATAATACAAATGATAATACTTCATCTACATACAAATCATCCACTGCCAAGTCATCATCTACATTAGGATCAAGAAAATGGACTACGAACACTACTAGCGACAATAATGGTACAAATAGTTTTTTAACATCTTTATACACCAGATGCATTAGAAATCCAAATAGACGAAAGAAAAAACATTTAGACAACACTAAGAACAACAACAACAACTTTAAACATCATTATCATCAATCACATTTTTGTTTAAATTTCTGCCGATACTGTTTACCGAATACACCGTCATCCACATCAGCGTCATCATCATCATCATCATCAACAGCTGCTACTTCAATTACTGCTGCGCCAACAGTAACAGGAATGACAACAACACCAAGACGTAAAGAATCGAATAGTTTCACGTTACAATTTCCATTGGATAATAAGCATTATGAGAGTGTAATGAGTTCTTCGTCAAACAACAATAATAATAATAATCTTAATATAAAGACAGATGATATTTCCAGTTATAAAAGTAAAAATACATTTATTTCAAATTATAAAAAAGCTTCGACCATTTCTGTACCGGATAGTTCCAATCAATCCAAAAGCATTTCTGTCTGTATGAATAGTAATGACACAAATAACAATAATCAGAATAATAATAATGAAATTGATACTCATAACACATTTGTACATAGGAATAAGCATCAAGCCACTGATGCATCATTACCTCATAACCCTGTTAATTCTACAGAATTCCAAAAGAAAGCAAACATTATGACGCCTGTTATGACAACATCTATTCCTACAATAACTACTACTACTACTAATACTACTAATACAACTATTACAAAGACAACAAATATTCATAAAAAGACTAATCCATCTGTAATTATTACTGATAATTCAGCATATTTTAATGAAAATCTATTAGAATTATCAAAACTGCCAATGTATAACTCAACAAGTCTTTGTGATATATGTCAAAAAAATATTCAATTAATTAGTCAAGATAATGATCGAATACTGCTTTTAACAAATAGTCAAGAGAAAACTATTCCAATCATTAATACTATTAATAGTAAGGATAAAAATGATACTACTACTACTACTACTACTACTACTACCACTAATAATAATGATAATAATGTGAATATGAATACTCACCAGACTGATGATATCAAATCGAAACAAATCAAGGAGATAGAGTCAGATATTGAAGAATATGCAAAACAGTAAGTAGTCCTCGACTAATCACTTTGTATAACTTATATTATTTACGTGATATGTTGTTGTTGGTCTTTTTTCACGTTATGGAACCATTGAAAAATCAAGGAACACTACTGATGAATGTAATCTACTAGTTAATGGTAAGGTATTCATCTTCTGATTGATCTGTTATCCAGTTTTGAAGCCAGTGCTGTTATCCATTTAGTTAATGAGTTTGAATAGCCACTGACTTCTGCAATAGTGTGGGGCTATTTGAAATCAATAGCTAAGTGAATAACTTGATGACGTTTGAAGTGAGGTGTACTGGGTTAGAGTTTAGGAGTAAACATCAACTCTGAGATGCAGGTACTTCCAGCTAACGAGTCCCGAATAGAACAAAATGTGCATCCTGGAGTACAATATTATTCATTATCCATCTCTATTTTTAATGATGTATATAGTATAAATGAAAAACCTCTTTTAAGACCGTAGATAATAGAATTCATGAACGGGATCATTTTCAAGTTCGAATTCGTGTTTTATTTCATAATTATTGTTGCTTGAATATTGTTTGCATTTCATCGCCTAAGATTTTTACCGCCGTATGAAGTGAAGTGTAGGGACTTTGATATCAGACATTGTGTAATATGTTTAACTGATTAGTAAGGCATTCAATACTGTGTTAAAATGCAAAGTTATCTCATCCTTCTAATTAATTTTCATTTTCTAGATATATTCTCGATTGTTAACGTTTTTCTTAACAATCATAAAAGCCATGGGATTTTATTATTCAGTTTATTCATATATTTTTGCTCTGTTGATATTATTTGTCGTTTTGAACTTATACACATTTCTTGTAGGTCCTGTGTCAGTTACAGAAGATTGATAAACTGACTGTTAGACAGACTATAGAGCATACTAAATGATTGCCTCGGTCTAATTATGAACTAACTTATTCAATAATGCAAACTGATCATCTCACATTGGAATGAATGAACTCTTGAATTTTACGATAAGTATCATTCCTATATCATCCATTGCGCTGTATTTGAAATCTTATTTAATTTTTACAATTTCTTATCAAATGGCATCGAATAAGAAAAACACAGTTACTCTGGATGTACATAAGATGACTCACTGAATTATTATCTAAGTTTAATATCAAGTTTTAACATACTTTGTCTTTGTCTGTTTATCGAATAGGCGACAAAAGCACATGAATGAAATTTAATGTACTAAAAATAGGAAACTGATTTTTCAGATGTCAATGACAAGATTTGATGAGATAGTTTTAAATAAGCACAACTTATATCAATGAAAAATACTGATTTCAATCGGATTTTTAACAGATTTCTTCACTGTAAATTATTTACATATATTTATATGAGAAACATAAAACTTATCAAGGTAACTTAAGAGGTAATGATTGATTTCTCAAATATGCAAAAGGCAAACTGATCTCAGTTAGATAACATCTAAAACTTGGAAACGCTGTAAAACCGTTTCGTTTTTGTACGGAATATGAAAGCAGAAAATTGACTGACTAGTCAGCCTTGTAAAATTATGATTCATTTAAACCTATAGGATCGAAAGCCTCCCAACTTTATGGTTTACGCAAAGTTCACAAGTCAAGATTTCATCTTCATCCAGTTTTAGGTATGTGCCATCCTCCATGCCATAGAACTGTGTAATGGTTTGTTTGAATTCTGGTCTTTAGCAAAGGGATCAATGTATGATGGAAGATGTGAATTTTAGACGAAAATAGAGTGGTATTTTTAAATGTTTCCATCTTCTCTACTAGTGTACCATTAACTAAAACTGTTGGTTTTGAATGTCAAAAGCTACTTGAAAAACAATTGATTATTAAAATTCCCGGTATTAGTCTCCAATAAATACATTTGGAATTTTTCAGTGAACGATAACATTGTTGTAATCACACATATTGTAGACAAACTAATGGAATAACGATGGATTTTCCTCTAGGGAACATAATTGGCTGATTTCTATCTCACAAAATTAGAGAACGGACATCTGAATGAGTATATTTATGAGCTTGGTTTTTATTGTCGTTATATTGATGATATTTTATCATCGTTGATTTTACTTGCTTCCTTACGCATCGCACCCTCAAGAGGCATAGCCTGTTGACTAGGATTCTCCATCTGACTTTTCTCAGCTCGTCTTTTCAGTTGCTCCTGATCGCTATTCATTTTTTTTCATGTCTCCCTCCATTCGCTAAAGCAATATGTTATTGGACCTGCCTCATCTCCTTTGACCTTGAGGGTTCCAAATAAATGTTTCAACATCTTTCAAAGCTTCTCTGTCACATGTGATTTGATTAAAACTCGCTACGTTGTATATGAAGATCTAGCTTTTAACCTTCTGCATGTTGATAACTGTTGCTAAAGAGGCTGCTGTTACTGTCACCGTCTTCGCCTACGCTTGTTGCTGGCGTTTATTTCTCCCATCTAAATGGTCAATTCCTTTGTTGGACATTTCTCGATGATTGACTGCAGCCTCTGACAGAATTTAATTTGATCGATTTTTTAGTTTTCATTGGTGGGCATATTTCCTTAAATGATACACATTGTAATCCACTGTTTCTTCGTTTTGAAGGATGCTTTGATGATTCCAAGTGCATGAAATTCCTATCTTATTAGTGCTCTTTGGACAGCATCAGTACAACTCCTTATGCTTGTGAGACAAATTCTTCTCTGTGTCCAGAGTACGACAGAATCTTCCCTGAAACTATTCTCTTTTGTCCAGGCTGCGTGCAACTGGTGACAGGTATCACCATATTGTATCTTTTCTTTCCTCAGCTACTTTAATGGTCTCCCAGTCTCCTACTTTATCTGTACTAATGATAATCATATTCACTTGAAAATGTTACCTAATAACATTTACGGAATATACAGATTTCTAATAAGTTTGGCTTCACGGCAATATGTCAGAGTAGTCACTTCAAAATTCAAATATGACAAAAGTGAATGATCAGTTAACCGTTCTTAATATTAACAGTGTGAATCATAAAAATCCTTACAAATATATAACATGAATTCGTTTAGAAATAATTTTTTTCAAATGAATTCAAGATTTTGAGTAATTACTGTCATTTCACGTGCTTCTAAGTTAGACACAGATCATCATTTGATTTATTTTGATATGTTAATATTCATATTTCGCTTTTTTAAAAATCAACTTGATTAACTCTTTATGCTGATAGCTTGGCAGATATTGTAATTACTGAATAAGATTTCATTTTTCTATGCCGTTAAAATGTAATCACGTTAAATAAATAGTTTTACTGAAATAAAACTAAACTCACTTATTAGTACATGTTAAACAGACATCTACATTTACTAATTATAACATTAATCAGTTAACTATGCTAACAGTTTAGAGTACAAATAAAACCTAATTAAACTTATTGATGTAACGTATCCATGATAAAAATTCAGTTCTTGATATGATTTACTGAAATCTGATAGCCTAACAATATATTTACTTCTTCCTACTAGATTTAAAATATCCTACGAAGTCTATAAAGATAGTTTTTATCTTGAGGTGATGAGTCAATAAAACTAATCAATATATTTTGGCAGAAGTGCATAGTGTCTAGCAGTGGAATCTAGAATGTGTGTTTTATCCTATTTAGGACTCATTGTCTGAATATACCTGCATCTTAGAGATGATGTTTATCCCGGTATTCGAACCCAGTGCTTTTTGCTTCAAACGCTCTCGTGTTAATCAATCAGGTGTTGAGTCTACATAAGTACTCGCTTGTGCTCTAAGGTGAAGATTAATTCATTTGTATTGGTTGCAATATCGAAGCAATTCGCATTGGGTGTACATATTCCAAAGAAACTGACCAATTACAATCATGAATATCAATGGAAAGATTCAAACAACCATTAGAAATGAATTAATTACTTATTAGTTGCTTTGTCTTTACTTAATAACGACTTCTACAACACACATTCACGACCTTGTATCACTGGAATAAACAGTTAGTTAGTTTTGACTATATATTATAGTTAATACCAGTTACTATCTTTAGTTAAACAATCATTGGAAACTAGCTTGACATAAACGGCTGACTTTTCAGCAGTGAATTATCAAGTCACTACTGGGTATCGGCAGTCAGGTTTCTCAATGAGTGCCTCACTTTTGGACTATTTAGTTGGTATCTATTGGTGTACACTTCTTACCTCGGTCAATCCATGATATCGCTCAACTGTTTTCAAATGTTATTGATGAGTAGCTCTCTTATTTACGACTTGTCATCAAAACCCTAGAAACTGCCTCTGGAAATAGTTAGTCAATGAGAGCGACTTACATTTCACGAACTTGGTTAATTGATCAGATATTAATTTCATTAACTATCTATTTGATTTTACGGAATAATTAGTTTCTTCCTAAACATGTTTGATTTATTAATAATGTTTCTTTTCACATGTCACGACTGTAAGAAGTTAGTTCCTGTTATCTATTATTGATAATTATAGAGAAAAATAGTATATATATGCGACTAAATATGATTATCATTAATTATTTCTAAGTAACATATGTTTTGTACAGAGATAATTATCATCACTCATTGTACATAGGATAATATTATGTTTACATTCAACTTCGTTCACTTACAATTTTTCACTTAGTATTGCGTTTTGTTGTACTCTACTATCAGTCAGTCAGTCAATCAGTCAGTCATGAACAATATGCAATCTGGTATGTGTTTGAATCAAGTTAAATTGTTATAATTCATGCGAATAAAGAAATTATAGCATTAAATGATTGATGCTTTGTATTGTGAATTGTATGATTTTGTGATTGTGAAGCGGTGTATTTCAACTCAGTGTTTCCGAAGTATCGCTCTCATCAACAGACTTACAGGTTACAAGTTCGAGCCTATTCAAGGTTTTGAATTAGCTCTACTGAGTAATCTCTAACTCGATAATTGATAAATTCATTCTGAATTTTGTACTGAAGAATTTGTTTAGAAAACATTGGTATTTTCACAACTAAA